CATAGGCTCAGTGCCGTCTGATTTTTTGGACGGTGTGGATTAAAGACCGTCACGGACTTAACGTGTCCGTGGCTAGATTTTTGTCATGCAAATTTGAAGCAAAAAATATTAGGGGACGGCCACAGGTCCGTTGCAGTTTTTAAGCAAAAGGCGAAACGCTATATATATATATATATATATATATATATAGGGCAGCGTATTTCATACAACGATTGTATCATAGTATAATGCAACGACACTTCTAGAATACCATGTTTGTGATATTTGTATGACCCAAATTTGCACACACTCTCTCTTCATCTCAATAATCAATCCCCAAAAATAAAAATTCAATTTGAACTCTAGATATGGTCAAAATGAGTGCCCTCGAAAAACGAATTTAGACTATTCATTTGGTGAATTTCAAGATCTTAGCCTTTATAAACTCAAAACTTTTTTTTTTTTTAACATTGTTCATCTAATGATAATAAAGCCTTTCAAAAAAATTGAAAATAAAAAAATCATTCTAAGGTCTAGATCTAAGCGTCTCACTAAAATGATTGACCTATGTTAATTAGGCTAAAAAATACTTTTCATTTTGTGTTTTCAAACTTTGTTTTTTTTTTTTGTGATTGTTCATTATAATGAAAAGAATATATATTTCAAAATTTGGATCTGGCCTTAACAAATGAAAAGAGTATATATTTCTCAGTTTCTCCCTCTCTGTCTATCTCCATATTTTCAAGGTTAGGGTATGCTCTTGCTCAAACCAGATATCCTCTCTCTCAATCTTGATTTTTTTTTGTAGGGCATCTTTTGAAGTTTCTCCATCTCTCTGTATGGGATTTTTTTAGGGATCATTATCAGCTTCACACTGAAACCTGATATCCTCTCTCTCAATGTCAATTTTCTTTTGTAGGGCATCTTTTGAAATTTCTCCATCTCTTTCTGTGTTTTTTTAGGGATCTCTATCAGTTTTCCACTCAAACCAGATATATCCTCTCTCTCAATCTCAATTTTTTTGGGTTTTTATTAGTGGGTAAATTAATTCATAATTTGGGGTCCATTGTTTGTGATTCTCGCTTATTATGCCTTGAATGTGAAAGAGAACGATCTGCCAATTTCTGGATTAACTGGGGTATTTATATGTTCTTTAAAACTGTGACCTACAACAGAGCTCTAAATTCTTGCCTTTTTCTAATTGTAAGTTAACGCTTTGATTTGGTTCTATGGTTTTAGGAAGAATCTTTTATTACATTAGCTGCATTTTCTGTAATACGTGCAACTTATTTCTTATTATGGTGATAGAGGGGTAGGTGCTTCCCCATAAGTAGTTATCGAAGTTGAATTTCATCTTCACTAATGTGCCTTGAGCGGTCTGCTGCTTTTGGTAGCTATACCTCATGCATTCAATACTCACTTTTGGAATTTCCATTTTGTTGGTAGCCAATGTGCCAATGTTTATCAGTATAGGATTCTTTTGCAGAGTCTCTTGGTACTGCTGTTTATTGGATTAATGTGGCCGACAATCCCTTTTAGTATAATGCTTAATTTAAGGTCCTCATTTATGTACTACTAAGTATTAACTGTTTTTTTAAACTGTTAATCAACTATTAAGCCGGAAATTTTTATTTACATTTATAATTATGTCACACAGCCATAAAACTATGAAAAACACAACCTCAAGCTTCTTATTTAGAGTTATAATGTTTTATGTAAAAATGAAATGATCTTTCTTAATAATTTTAGTCATATATATGAGAACTGCACTTGATGTTATTCTTGCATCTCACAATAAAATAAATATGCATGAGTGCGTTAATTGCTGCACCCATTGTAAAATTTCAATCACTTTAAGGTTTGTAAGAAAAAGAAGATGGAGACTGCATATTAAATCAGAAGTTTTGATATCCATGTGTCGATGTTTTTATATCTGTTTCATTTATGCTTGTTATGTGGATGAATGCTATCCATTTGTTTTCACTTCTACTGAGAACTTAGCTTTCTCATGCAACATTGACAATGGGTTCCTTTTCTGCTTTTCTTGTATTTGCTTCTCAACCTCTTCCTTTCTTGTTAATTGTATCCTTTATACCCTTTATAATTGTTAAACTTATTTTTGTGTCTATGTTTCTCTATCTCGCTCTCTATGTCTTCTTTTATTTTTTGGCATCTTTGTCTAGGCACCTGCTAGCATAGATTACAGTCCATGTTCACCATGTTGGAATCCATTAAAATGGCACAATTGAAAAACCATTTTTGAGATAATTCTGTATTTCTGTTTATAGGATTCATTTCCTGGAACAAAGAAATAGATTACCTAAACGCAATAATGTCATTTTCCCTAAATATCGATGACTGTGGCACCAACACTTTTTCGGAAGAGTGTGATGCCGATTCTATGATGCAAGATACTAGCAACTTGGATGGGGGACAAGATTTATTGTCTGTAGATGAAGGGGCAGCACTCGCAAGAGGTGTGCACATGTAAGTGGCAGCTTGTGGGGTTTGGCATAAAAAAAGGAGCTACATTTTAGAAATACGGTGCAAATATTATATATAAATTTGTGAAATTTTTTTATAGAACTTAGAAATTGTCTTTCTGGTTTAGAAATGGAGTTTAAGTTGGTATTTTCAGTCATAACTGCTAAGTTACTCAATTGTAATTTGAATAAAAAAATAGTTAACTCAATTGAAATGCTCCAGTATCTATTTTTTAGCGTTCTACATTCTTTTTTTGGATGAATATGGATGGAGCCACATCATGATTTTTTTCTATATCATACGTGATTTATGACCAATTATTGCTTTGTTGATGAACCAAACAACCTTAAATGAACCTTTGTCTTGGTTGCTGCTCAAAGGTGACCCTAATGAAGCCAGGATGAGGCCTGTTATTAGAAATCATGAAGGAAAAATTTGTTGACGTTCTTAGCTTTGTTGGATATTGCAATGTAATCAAGGTGGAGGCTCGTGTGACGTTCTTAGTAACGAATTTTTATAATTTAACCAAAACAATTATGATGTTGATTTATGAAATTCATTGGTCATGTAAGAGGAGATTCATGTAGAATTTTTAAAATTCAGCAAAGGCTCTTTGAGAATTCGAACTGTTAATTTGTCTTTTGTCATTATTGTCTTGTATGAAATATTTGGGCGGCTTGAGTTTTGTTCTTCCATTAACAGCATCAAGATCTATTACGGTCTTGTACGAGATACTTGTAAATTCTTAAAGTTTGGTGGGATTGTAATGTGATCCCTTCCAATGTTTTGGAAACAAATATATTTCAAGAAATGGATTCACATGCGTTTTGTGTGTGTGTGGCTGTCACATACAGAATGTTCCGTTAAAATATGATAGACAGAATTTCCAAGAATGCTAAGAAACTGGAGCAGGTCTCACTCTCACTATTTCTTTCTTTAAAATGATATACTGGTCTGCAATAATTTTATATATTTCTTTTTGGGATATTTAATATGCATTTCCGTCTTCCTTTTTTCTGAATTCTAAGCCAGCCAAAAATAATAGAAGCTCAGTAATAGATTGATTCCTTTTTTCTGAATTCTAAGCCAGCCAAAAATAATAGAAGCTCAGTAATAGATTGATTTGCCAGCATTAGATACAAGCTCTCTGAGTCTCAAACAAGGCCAAGCTTGAAAATTGAAAATCATATACCATCGTGCCTGCTTATATTGGACTTGGCTCCTTGACTTTTAAGGGCCTGTTTATTGAGCTGCTGTTTGTGCGATAAAGTTTTGGAGAACGGTAGAGAGAGAGAGATTCACAACAATTTTTACAAGAATGCTCAACTAAAGGAGAGTGACCCATCTAACAAGGATCTCAACACAATGAATTATTTGACTCAAGGAGATGAAGCAAGGATCAATGTACAAATTTTGTTTACAATTTTTAAACCGAGAGAGAGAGAGAGAATCCCACAACAATTTTTACACTGAGAAAGAGAGAGAGATCCAGACCGATTTCTACAATTGCATTTCCCAGCTGTAAAGCGAAAGGTATTTAGTAAAATCCTCAACTCAATGAAAAGCCTCGGCTCGGCTCTCCAACTTCAGTCAATATTACTGAAAAGAAAGACAAATGTAAAAAAAAAAGAAAGCCCCCAAATTAGAGTGACTAGAATTCTCAACAAAAGACTGCTCCCTCTCCAACTCTGATCATCGAAAGCACTGAATCCATATGTGCTCACGACACCAATAATGAAACCCATTCATCAGCATCCAATTCATTCATTTTCATAAGCCACAACTGACTCTGGGGAAGCAGATCCCTGAGCAAGCACTTCGTCGAACTTCTCAGTCTTGCCCAACACCACCACAATCTGTAACAGCAGATAAAACCCACAAAAAGAAGGCAATTTGTGTGTAAGTGAAAGAGAGAAAGATGCCTACTGAATTCAAGTTTTAAAAAACAGTAAAGGTCCCCCACGGAATCCAAGCCTTCAGTAGTGCCCAAATCTTCCACTGAATTCAAGTTTTCAAACACTGTTCTAAAATCAGAACAACAAACATAAAGGTCCCTCAACTGCTGCGCAATTAAATACGTCATGAAATGATGTGCAAATTGAAAAATTCCTTACAGATTAGTACCATCTAAAATATCACTTCCACAAATAAACCTCAGACAAACATCAAATGATATTGAGATGTAGTGAGCAACATATAAAACCTGCAAACTAACTATAATGAGAAAAACAAAAAACAACACCAAACTTTCAAAAATAGCAAAACTTTCAAAAAAGAATAGTAAACTACTAGCGATAATGAATAGTATAAACTACTAGCTCCCAGCCGTCAGATCTTCATTAGGTGGTTTAAAATTTATATTACTAAATGAATTTTAATCTTTTTTTTAGAAATCAGATCGTAATAAAATTTGAGACATTTGTACTAAAAAATAGGGCGCACAATAAAAAATATATATATATAATATTTCTTAAAATATAAAATGACCGAAATACCCCCAAAAAATGATGGGGGTAATTTGGTCATTTTAAATTATTGAAAGTAATTTTTTTATAGTTTTATATGATGCAAAAATAGTACGAGGTATATATACCTAAAATTTCATATTAATCTGATTTATAAAAAAATATTAAAATTTAAATAGTGATATGAATTTTGAACACGATCAAAATCAAATAGCTCGAAACTAATAATATAATTGCTATGATGGCATCATCATAAATTGGATAAGACATCACGAATAGGATTTTGCAATAGCTGGGAGCTAGTCGAATAGCTAGGACGACATCGTCATAAATTGGATGTCACAAAATGGGGAGCTAACAACAGAATCGCTAGGATGACATCATCATAAATTGGATATGACGTCACAAAATCTAATAGTTGGGAGCTAGTAGTAGAATCGTTATGACATCATCATAAATTTCATATGATGTCACAAATCAAATTTGTAAATTGAATATAAATTTGTAAAGTAGATATAACGTCATGAATTAGATTTTACAATAGCTTGGAGCTGTGTTGAAAAAATTATTGATCCGATCCGAAATCGAGCGATTTGAATCAAGAATCATTATGATCATTTCAGATCTGTAATATATCGGGATCTAAATGGTTTTGACGTCACATAACCTGTACGACACATCATGCTCTTACACAACATCAATTTTTTTTATTTGTATATGAGATATCCAAATATAAAGATAACAAATGGTTACATATAGTATGAGCACCGCTTTTTATCATCAAGCAGCCGATTGAGGTGTTGGTTAGTGCCCCTTACATACATAGGCCTCTTACAAGAGGTTCTGAGTTAGCTTTATGTGTTAGGACTAATCATGAACTAAAAGATTTTTTTAAATGTGGTGTAAAAAGTTGTGTACTATGGAATTCGAATTTTGTCAGAGTTGAACTTTATGTGTTAAGACTAATAGAAAGGCATTCTAACAAATTTGGTTTAAATTTGAGGGATTAATATATTTAAATAAAAAATATGCCGTACAAACTAATTCTAAAACTCGCATCGTTCATAGGGTGAGACTGAGTTACTCGATCGAATTCGGCCTTAGCCGAGTCTCAGAACACTGAGCATATCACTGCGAACCCTAAGAATAGCTAGCCATGATTCCTCAAATGTGTTAAGATTTAAGAATCCTCTTAGATGTCGAAACCGGAATCCCAAAAGTTGGATCCTACTAAGATCGTATACTTATCCGTTAGAAACAAAAAAAGAGAGCACGAACCATAATACGGGAAATAAAACATGAAATACACATGCTAAGAAGATACCCATCTTTATTTCACAGCTAAACCACGGTCCAGGAAGAGACCCTTGACAGCAATTGAGACTTTCTCTCACTAAAAAGAAAACCCACTCAAAATCTTCATGAGAACCGCTTCTCTTCAAGAAACCACATCTCAATCTACAGGAAGCACATTCATGGTATTTCTCTCTGCATGAAACTCTCTTCTCTCTATGGGGAGGCCTTGCTGATGATGCAGAGGAGGCTAAGAGGAAGCCACATTTCCCATTTCGTGACCCAAATAGGGCACATATAGTCTTTCATCTTTCATCCCATATATATAAGATTAGAACTCTATACTAAATAGGAAACTTCCTATAGATGTTACATATATCTCAAATCAATAAATATGCACAAGAGTCATAAATCTTATTGGATTTCTATTTCTTTTAGGAAACTTATTAATATCAATCCCAATCCCACGTAATATATGATTTCTTTATGTGGGTGATTTTGGATATCACCATATCCAATAATCTTTACTTTGATATCAAAATCACCTGTTCATCATGCCAGCATCTATTGGATAGCTTTATGAATTATTTATCTTTTACCAAATAAATTATTTCATTATTATTGCTGAAAAATAGTGCTTTCAATAAAGCGTTCGCATACTTTGTCATATGTTTTTCATCAAACTAATGCACAAACACTAGCCCTGTACTGAACTATGGGCTATGATATCAATTGTAGAGGATAAAAACCAAGGTTTTACAAAAATAAGGGAAAGAAAAATAGTGTAGAAAAACAAAAGATCAGAGACACAAAAATTTATGTAGTTTGGCAAGTTGAAGTTCTTTTCCATTAATAAAAAAAATATTATGCAAACATGGAGAATACAATGGATTACAAGCTCTCTCTCTCTCTCTCTCTCTCTAGCCTTAAAACATCGTCTTTCTCTGACTACAATATCTACCGAAAGACTAAAGAAAACTAACCATTTTCTCTCTCTTATTTGCATCTCATTTTTTTTTTGTATATTTTTCTCTCTATAAAGATCTATTTATAAATAGTAACAACCATTAAAAGGCCCACTTAATTCATTTTCCTATTTTGATTGGGTCTTTTATTTCCCATAGATTTTCTACATCTAATAGGATTTAGGACATGTTTCATTTCCTATTAGGATTCACGTGATTCCAATATCTAAATCATCCTAAATTATAGGATCTTCTTAATGATAAGAAATATAAGTAAGTACATTAAAAATAAATAAATATATTATTTAATTATAAATAAATACATTATAACCAAATATATTATTAAATAAATATATAATTTCTATAGGCAACACTAGACTACAACACTATTCTACACGGGGAGGAGGCTTTGAACTTGTATTAGCAGCATTCTCGTCTCATGAGACAATACTGGAAGTGGAGAAGGGGGAGGCATTTCCCTTTTTTTTTCTTAAAATTTAAATTTGGATTCTAGAAATTACAAAAAAATAAGGCCAAAAAAATATAAACTATAAATAATGGAAAAACATAAATGAATAGATAAAGAAGAAATTGTTTGTATTTACTAATATGCGGAATGTTGCAATTTTAATTATATTTTTATTTTACATATACATATGTAATTTACATATATTGGAAAATAATTTCTTTAACAGAGAGAGAGAGAGAGAGGTAGTTGTGCATGTGGGTTCGGGGCAGAAGAGGAGCGAGAGAATACAAATAGGGAAAATATGTAAATTTATTAGAGAAATTGAGAGAGAGAAAGATGTGAAGGTTCATATTGTAGCAAGCACTAATTATAAATCATAAATGGTTTAATCATAAATATTTATATTGTAATAAAGGGTTCCATGGGAA